TCCCCGAATTTCTTCAGCCAAATAGACTCAATCTCGTGGGGAGCTAAATTGTTTCCCTTCATCGCCATTGTATAGGTGGTGATATGCTCATGAGGATCCGAAGTCCCATAACACTTCGACACGTCTGGCATTTTAAACCACTTCGGGATTAGTTCCGGTGTTGTGCTTGGTTTGTACGGCAATTATGTGTACTTCTTTGAGTGTAGGCCTTTCAGCACTGGTGGTGCACTTGGAATTTGATCTATTCATGCGTAAACTTCCCTCACAAATCGCATGAGTTCGATTTTAAAGGGATAACTCTCATTGTTGTGACCGGATTTGTTCCCCCCGGCCCCGTCGAAGCCGACCTCGCCCCTCGGGGTGTTATTGTCGACCCTCTACGTCGTTTAGTTTACGGGAGCACTGGGAAGAATTGGGCCTTGCCTATTCGTGTTTGATGTTTTATACTTCAATGCCACACAAGAGGGGATGATTTGTGTGGTGTCCAATTTTCACGTGCGTAGATTATAGAAGAACATGGTTCTTCTGTGTGTTCCTTAAACTACTATTGCAGAAATAATAAATGTGAAAAGTAAGGAACACAAGTATTTTTACGTGAAAAACACCCGGCTCAAAAGGTGAAAAAACTACGACCTACTACTCAGTAGGATTTTCCCCAACACTTCACTAAATCACTGAGCCAAAATAATATTTACAAATACTCTTTGTAAACCTAAGGATTACCTCTAATCCTGTTATAGCAATCGGCCTCTAACTGTTGCGATAACTTCAAGTTAACTCTAACTTGAATAGTCAAAGTACCTATTAGAATTGCTTCTAGATAAAGCTGAAAGATACAATATGAAAACACCTACTACAATTGTACTAGAATAAAAGACAGACACTTGGAACTAGTTCTTCTATCTGGTTCATGTAGCTTCAGGTTCGCACACTTGAATCACACAAGAATTGCTTGCAAAATGTCTTGCTATTTTGCTCTCAACTCACGTTTAACTTCAGCTTTTGTGTGTACTTGTAAAGTGAGAACATCCTGCAATTTTTAGAGTTAATAGAGTAGAAAATAACTAGAGTTTTGATGCTACTCTTCCTTGGTGGAAGAGTTCTAGTTAACTTCAACTTCTAACTCCTTCCTTATCTTGGATAGTGTTTCTTTGAGTAAGGACTCCTTCTCCTTATTAATTATGCAATATTTTTTATCAGGAGATATCAGATATAACCACTTAATCTTATCTCCCTCATGTGCATCCTCTGTGCTTGAATCTACCTGTGTTTGTATATACTGTGGATGGACCTGGTTCATGCTTGAGTTCCTTTGTCAATCTTCAAAACAAACTTCACTTGGGCCAACAGTATTGTTGGAAGCGCCCGACAACGCCTGCTTCAGTTTCGTCATGACCTTATCTTGTCGTGTGAGATGGCCTATAATGGCCTTCTATTGCTCTTGAAAGACCCTGACTGCTTCGACGACGTGCTCTTCTTTAGTATCATCAGGAGTTGCCTCCCGAACACGTCGCAGATATCGGCCGCCGGGAACCGGCGTGACCTCGTTCCCCTCATTACGGGTATCACTAATTGAATCCTCGTGCTGAGGTTGATTTCCTTGGGCCTCAACATTACATGTGTTGTTAACACCATTATCTGCAATTTTTAATGATTTTTGCTAAGAACAAAAAATCACACAAGTTAGTAATAGTTGCAGGATTCAATTACACGATTGTCTATGCACCATGGTGGGCGCCAAACTGTTTACCCGTAAAATGGTATAGTTGAATTTGTACGTGGTTTATAGACAAGTGAATTAATTTGATCTAAAAATAATAGATAAATTGGACGGAAATATAAGACTTAGCCTTAAAACTGAGATAGATGGTAGATATCTTGGTTCCAGGCGTAGAGCTACCGGGAGCGATAAGAACAATACAAATAAGTAAGAAAGTAAAATGTTATTGAGCTTTTGATAGAATATAGTATATGCTTGTCACGAAATTCGTATCCTTTACGATGATAGTAGAGCTCACTATCTATCGTTGCACCTAGGGAACAAGGTCCTAGGATTAAGCTCATCTTTAATGACAATTATGAGGGCCATTGAAGGATGTGTAATGGTGGACAGTGAATGCCATATTCTCTGTAACGGATCATGCACTTAATGCTGTAGAATATTCTTCATTGAATGCTACCGGATGACGGCATTAATTTTATCGTTATGAGTATAATTCTCTCCGGTAACAAGAGAGATCATTGCCTTCGGGTTTAGCTATCTTCTGCCTTCGGTTTCACGTATCACTTTCTCATGCGATCATTAAATATGAACATATTTTATCCCACACAATATTAAAAAAAAATAGTAGCAGACAAAAATATTAAACAAAGTAATATACTAACAATTTTTTTTATTAACAATGCAATAATACTAAATATTGGATAGTATAATAAATTTGTAATATATAGAAAAAAAAAGTTGTTTGATGCCTATATAAGTCCTTTAATTTAATAGAGATTTTATTCATTAAATTTAGACAATATTTGAGAATAACAGAATAAAATTTAAAATAAAATTATTTCAAGAGTAATAAAATATATATCTTCTATTATATTACAAAAAGAAAGCTGCAGATAAAAATATTAAATAGAGTAATATGCTAATAAAAATTTCTATTAACAATATAATAATACTAAATATTGGATAATATAATAAAAAAAATACAGAACAAAAAATTTATTTGATGCCTATATAAGTCTTTTTAATTTAATAGAGATTATATTCATTAAAATTCAAACAATATTATTGAGAACAACAGAATAAAATTTAAAATAAAAATTATTTTAAGAGTAATAAAATATGTCTTCTATTATATTACAAAAAGAAAGCGAGCAAACAAAACATTAAAAAAAAGTAATATACTAATAAAAACTTCTATTAACAATGTAATAATACTAAACATTGGATAATATAATAAAGAAAAATACAGAATAAATAACTTATTCAATGATTATATAAATCTCTTTAATTTAATAAAAAATTTATTATTGTGTATATCGTATTGACGAATAAGATGACAATTGAAATTTATTAGAAAAATTTAATCTAATATGTTCAAACAAGCTTGACTACAATTTAATTCAATTAATATTTTTTTTAAAATTAACTGCGCATCGTGCGAGTACAACTACTAATAATCATATAAAGGGCGAATGCTTGACCATGCTGACATAGTGTGGCTACGCCACGGTTAGTATATGTCGTACAATTTTAATTCCAAAGAAAGGAGGATAATAAAACGTCGCAATGAGTCGTTCTTAAATAATCATATAGAGGGTGAATACTTAACCATGCTGACATAGAGCCCATTTGGCCAAGTTGTCAAAAACTGCTTATTTTGAAAAATACTTTTTTTAGAAGTGCTTTATCCAAAAGTACTTTTTTTTTAAAAATAGTTTGTGTTTGACCAATTCATTTAAGAAGTACTTTTTTGGTAAATAAATTGTGTTTGATTAATCTTTCTAAAAAGTACTTTTGAGTGTCAAATTATCAAAAAGGATAGTACCAAGGTTTTGTAATTATTTTAAAGAAAAAAATAAACTTAAATATTTATCGTAAGAGACTTTTATTATTATTTTTTATTTAATTAAAATATAAAACATAAAGTATACATATTAAAGATTTAAATCAATATAACATATTGATTTAAATCATAAAGTTATATCAAATCATATAATATTATCTAGTATAATTACTTATTGTTTACATGATGATTTGAATAATCAAAATACATCCTTCAGTAAGAATTAGAAGTCTATTCCACAAATTATTATATATTATTAATCCACCATGAAATAATAAGCAAAGTCACTCACACATGATAACATTTCTCAACAATTTTTTAATTCTATCATACAATGTTTTCATAATAGTAGAAGACTTGCCTTACATTTCTAAAGGAATACCAGAAGCCCACTTCTTTCCTCAATTTCTGCAGTAATGTCTTCGTTAACATAATAGTTGAATTCCTTATTAGTAGAAGAATGTCGTCGGATGAAATTTTGCATAGCCATGATAATTGTAACAAGATGATTCTAAGTGTCAAACTTGAAAGATGACATTGAGCGTAAAATAAAAATAATTCTTAAATTCAAATTCAAAAAGAGTAACTAATTATTAACAACACATAATGTATACTTTAATTTTTTAAAATTTAAATTCAAAAAGAAACTAATTATTATCTAACCTGACTAACTTTGTCCTGAATTGCCAAGTGACCTATTATGAGGCTGCCACTTGACTTAATGTGGAGGCTTTTTCTTTTTCTTTTGATAATATATAGATTATGCATTGCAATTATAAATTACCTATTTGTAGGTAATTTTCACAAATTAGATTTGATAATTGTTTTAAAGTTTCGGGAATTAATAGCCTATAAGAGAAGAAATTATAAATGATTATTTATAAGTAGAGAATTGATAATCCAAAGAAGGATATATATAATTTGCTTTAGTGTGAAAAAAGAAGAAAATAATTTGGAAAGTTAGAAGACATTACACAAAGAAAAAATCAAAACAAGAAAGTCATTAAAGAATTCGGAAAGTTACAATATGACTCATGTATATGATATATTTAAATTTAAAAGAATTGCAAAAACAAGAAACAAAAATGAAAAAAAAATAATCGAAAAGGGATAATTTAGAAAATACATATTTATAGTGAGGATATTTTTGTCTTGAATAAATTAATTTTCTACTTCTTCTTCTATTATTTGGAAGAAGCTAGAATTTACTGTTTCTTCCCAAAAACAGAAAAACTCCTTCTGTTGCTGATCAAAAGTAATTTTTTATCTTGGCCAAACAATTTAAACTTTTTTAAAAATATTTTTTTGAGGAAAAAAAATATTTTTGGTCTCCTAGAAGCTTGGCCAAACAGGCCGGCTAAGCCATGGTTAGTATATGTCGTACAATTTTAATTCCAAAGAAAGGAGGATAATAAAACGTCGCAATAAGTCGTTCTTAAATAAATACGGAGTAAAAGAAGTTTCTGTCCTTGCGGGTCGTTCCCGTTCCCGCGTCCGCAGCTGTTCTCTCTCTCTCCGTACGTATATCGCTTCAATTCGCGCGCCTGCCTCGTCATCTTTCTTTCGGCTCCGGCACATCGTTTTCTGATACGCAGCCATAACAAAAACGGAAGGCACATGCTCGACCTTCGCCGCCGGTAACTCCACCACTGTTCCGCTCCTCGGATGTATTTTCTGTCCCGCTCCGTCCTCTAAAGCCTGGATTACACCCATCTCAATGTGATCCGACCCAAGGGTGTATTCGGATTACGAATCCTAGCCGTCGAAAATGGGTAATTACCTAATTTATTGTGTAAATGAAGTAAACGTTTTTTTATTGTATTTGCTAATTGGTTGTTTAGGGAGCAGGATGATTGCGAGGTGGTAAGGAAGGTTGAAGAGGGAAGTACAGTGATGTATTTGAGGATCTCACAGTACGGATAATGAAAAATGCGATATCAAAGTCCTTAAGGCTGTAAAGAAGAAAAAAGGTTGGTGGTTCGATTCTCTAGTTTTACTGTTTTAGTACTCTACTCTGTGACAAACCTCTATTTTATCCATAATAATTTTTCTAATTTTTTTAAGGGTGGTCAAACTCGAACGAAATGAAAAAAAATCCCGACATAGAGTGTCCAATATATGTTATATACCTATAAAACTTAATATTTTAACTATATATACACTGTAAATTTTTTACTTGACCACTCTTATGTGAATGTAGCTTCGCCCATGATATTAAGTATCACGCATCAAAATGCAAACTAATACATGTTTTAGTTTTATTCGCTAGCTACTCTATTGGAAACCAATGCATTAAATTTATTTGATTCGGTTCCTCGTATGTGAGGTGGCAGTGACATTAAGTATCACGCATCAAAATGCAAACGAATGCACCTTGCTTCTGAAAAATATGCAAAGGCACATCTTTGTAACCCTATAGATGTCAAATTGGTGTAGATAGGAAAGAATCTGATCTCTTGTTACATTTTATAGGTTTTGCTTTTGATTTGGTTTCTCATGTGTGAGATAATTTTGATTTGAAAAAGTAAACACTGAGCATGACACTGTTGACTATTTTCTCTGCAATGAATACTATCTTGATAAACGAGAAGACAAAAAGTAAGTCTCCTCGGTAAGTTTTTATTTGTTACTCATGTGTGAGGTAAGTTTGATTTAAAATAGAAGATCCCAAGAAAACTGGTGACTCTTGTTCTCTACAATGAATTAAGTAGTTTATCCTACTGGAATGAAACATAAAAATGTCCAAATAATGACCACAATACGCTCCTTCATCCCCAAAAATGTCACGGAAACAGAAGGAAGACAAAAGTAACTTTAATCTCTTGGAAAGATTTTGTATATTAAGTTTTAAAGCTTCCTTTGAGACTTTCCTATTCCCTTATTACCGATCCTGACAAGAGCATTGCTGATTGAATTTAAATAGAGAGAATTGCTGAGGTAGTGATGTAGGTACTAGGAAGATAGAAATAAGTGAAGAAGCAGGTTAGAAAGAAGAAAGAGAGAGTTAAAAGCCTCTACGTAACTTTGGGAATCTCGACATCACATCCATGCCTAAATGCATGGAACCTCTTACTTAGAAGCTTGTAAAACTCTATTGCTGCTGAATAATCAGGAGTTCCAGCCATGTAAAAAAGATATACATGGGTGTCTACTGTTACCACCTTCTAGAATTATCAAATTTCGAGACAAGGGAGGGATAGCGTGCCCCTCCACCTCCAACCATGACGTTTGGGATTTGTTTCACCAAGAGAGCAAAGCAAGAAAGTGCCATTGTTAGCTCATGGCCAAGGGGTTTGTGGGTGACGTTTCAAAATACAAAAAAGAAAAATTAAAAAAATATCGATGTTGCGGTATTACAAATACATGAATGTGCACTTTTCCCTCACCTTATTAAATACAGANCCCCCCCCAACCAACCAACAGGAAAAAGGAAAAAGGAAAGACAAAGTAAAAGGAGAAAGGAACAGGACTTGTGTACTTAAAATGGGTACCATATCGCCTATGGTCAAAATAGGACTTGCATACTTAAACAAGAATGTCATAAGGTATATCCTAAGTTGAATAAATTTCTTAGTTCTTTCAGGTGTTTGAAAGGGCTTTTGGTGGACATGTATTATAGTGTTCGCTGTGTTGCTAATCTATGCACTATGTTGTTAAAAATTTTCGAAGCTCACAAGAAATCTTTAGGTTGCGGAAGCCAAATGTATATAGTGTGAATGAGTCACAACTACTATACCAAAAATTATGACAGCCACTAAATAATAAATAAGACAATAATACAACAGTAAAAGGAACACCAGAATTTACGAGGTTCGGCCAATTTTGCCTACTTCCTCGGACACAACCAATATTTTATTCCACTCCAAAAATCCAAGTGAAATAATACTATAGAGAGAAGATACAAATGCCTTAAGAAGATAAGAAGACAAATGAGATGTGTGTTTAAATCCTAAACATTAGGCCTTTTTTTATAGGGTGAAGTACCAACCAAAATTGGTACTTCACCGATGTGGGACTTTGGCACTCAACAAATCTCCGCCTTGGCAAAATTCCACATCTCCAATTTTCTCTCAATAACAAATTTTGGTTGTGTCTTCATCTTCAATCTTCAGTGTTCAACAATGTTGATCAAATCCAAACAATGTTGAAACTTGACCGCAGTCACCACCTTTGTCAGCATATCAGCAGGATTCTCTGTAGTATGAATTTTCTTCACCGTGACTCCACCTTCTTCTATGATTTCTCGTACGAAATGATACCGAACATCAATGTGCTTCGTCTTTGCATGATAAACTTAGTTCTTCGCTAATTGAATAACACTTTGACTATCACAAAAAATTGTGATACTTTTGTATCCAATACCAAGCTCTTTTAGCAACCCTGAAGCCAAATTGCCTCTTTTGCAGCCTCTATAATAACCATGTACTCTGCCTCTGTTGTAGACAAAGCAACTGTTGACTGCAAAGTAGACTTCCAATTAACTGGTGCCTTTGCAAAAGTAAACACATAACCAGTAGTTGATCTTTGTTTGTCCAGATCACCCGCAAAATCTGAGTCACAATATCCAACTACAGATTGGTTGCCTTTCTGCTAAAAAACTAACACAACATCTACAGTATTATGAATATACCGTAGAATCCACTTCATAGCTTGTCAATGGTCCTTTCCTGGATTATGCATATATCTGCTAATGACTCCAACAACTTGTAAAATGTCAGGTCTCGTACAGACCATTGCATACATCAAGCTACCAACAACATTTGTGTATGGANCTGGCTTAGTCTTGTCATCTATGCCAAAACGTTGAAGTACTCTCTTCAAATATTCCTTTTGAGATAAACAGAGTTTCTTTGAACGTCTATCTCTAATTATCTCCATGCCAAGAATTTTCTTTGCCTCACCCAAATCCTTCATCTCGAACTCCTTCTTCAGTTGAATCTTCAACTTATCAATTTCTTCTGAATTCTTCGAAGCTATCAACATATAGGAGAAGATATATAAAGGAACCATCTTTAGGCTTGCGCAAATACACAAAATGATCGTACTTGCTTCTCTTGTACCTTTGTCGCAATATAAACTTGTCAAATCGCTTGTACCATTGTCTAGAAGATTGTTTCAATCCGTACAACGATTTTTCAAGTTTGCACACCATATTTTCTTTTCCAGCAACTTTGAATCCTTCTGGCTGAGTCATGTAGATTTCCTCCTCCAAGTTTCCATGTAAAAACGCAGTTTTTACATCCATCTGAACTAGTTCCAAATCCAATTGTGCTACCAAAGCCAACATAATTCTAATGGAGGAATGTTTTACAACTGGAGAAAACACTTCATTGTAATCAATTCCCTCCTTTTGAGCATATCCTTTGGCCACCAATCTTGCTTTGTAGCGAACATCTACTTGGTTAGGAAATCCTTCCTTCTTTGCAAATACCCATTTGCACCCAATTGCTTTCTTTCCCTTCGGGAGATTGGCCAATCTCCATGTATGATTCTGATGAAGGGACTGTATTTCATCATTCATGGCAATCCTCCACTTATCTTCTTCTGAACTTTGGACAGCGTCTTTATAAGTAGTAGGAACATCATCAGCTACAATTGAGGTTGCACAAGCAACCGTCTCTATGAGACGAACAGGTTTCGTTATTGTTCTTTTTGGCCTGCTGGTTGCTATTGATTCAAGTTGTTGTTGAGATTCCTGAGTTGGAATCTCCTCTACTGGCTCTCCTTCCAGAGGGTAATCTTCATTTGTTTCCTCCTCTGCTTCTTGTGTAGGAAAAATAAATTTTCCCTCAAACTCCACCTGCTTAGAAGCACCTTCATTTTGTTTGGTATCTTCTGTTACCTTATTTACCATAGCAGATTCATCAAAGGTAACATCTCTGCTGAATATTACTTTCTTTGTTATAGGACACCATAAGCAATATCCTTTGACTCCAGAAGTAATCCCATAAAAATAGCCTTCTTTGCCCTTGGATCCAATTTTAACTCTGTCACATAATAATATGCAGTTGAACCAAATACGTGCAAAGAGTCATAATCTATAGCAGGCTTTCCATACCATTTTTCAAATGGTGTCTTGCCATCAATAGCAGTAGATGGTAAGCGATTAATGAGGTGGCATGCATATGTAATTGCCTCAGCCCAAAATTCCTTGTCCAAGCCAGTATTGGACAACATACTCCGTACCTTCTCCAGCAAGGTCCGGTTCATACGTACTGCCACTCCATTCTGTTGCGGTGTATGTCTGACAGTGAAGTGTCGGATGATGCCATCATTTTCACAGACCTTATTAAAATGATCATTTTTGTATTCACCTACATTGTTTGTGCGAATACACTTGATCCTTCTGCCTGTTTGATTCTCCACCATCGTCTTCCATTTGAGAAAAATTCCCAACACTTCATCTTTGCTCTTCATTGTATACACCCACACTCTTCGGGAAAAATCATCAACAAAGGTTACAAAATAGTGCTTCCCACCCAATGAAGGTGTTTTGGAAGGACCCCAAACATCAGAGTGTACATAATCCAAAATGCCTTTAGTATTATGGATCGCTGTACCAAATTTAACCCTTATCTGTTTCCCTTTGACACAATGTTCGCAAAACCCCAAGTTGCAAGCCTTTACTCCTTTTAACAATTCTTGATCTGATAGAGTTTTCAAAGATTTTCCTCTAGCATGTCCCAAGCGCATGTGCCATAGCCTAGTTGCTTCTGCCTCTTATTCGTCACTGGATGTTACTGTCGTTGTCCCAATAACTGTACTACCGCGATAACGGTATATGTTATTTTTCTTCCGATTGGCCTTCATTACCACTAGTGCACCGGAGCATACTCTCATCACTCCATTTTCTACCATGATTTTGAACCCTTTTGATTCTAGGGCTCCCACAGAGATGAGATTTTTCTTCAAACCCGGTACATATCGAACATCTGTTAATGTTCTGATCATTCCATCATGGTTCCTTAATCGTATTGTTAACCAATATCATATGAGGTAAGAGGGTTGTTATCCGCTGTGTGGACGACTCCATATTCTCTTCTTGAAAATTCACGAACCGGTCCCTGTTGGGACACATATGATAGCTACAAGCCGAGTCCATCAACCATATGTCTGATGATGTTGATGACTCTGTTGTAACTAATGAGAAGTCTGAATCATCACAATCAGCTACATTTGAATCCATAATGGCCTTTCCATTGTTATGTTTGGCCTTATTCTTCAACTTCGGACAGTCTTTCTTCCAGTGCCCCTTTTCTCGACAAAAGGCACATTCATCTTTGCTGGGTCTAGATCTTGACTTGGATCTTCCTTTCTTTGTCCTCGTTTGATTTTGAGGACGACCCCTCACAACCAGTGCTTCTCCTTCTCCGCCCTTCTGTTTTTCTCCTTTTTTTGTTCATAACTGTAAAAATCCGAACAAACTTCTTTGAGAGAAATTTCGTCATTCCCATGGAGTAGAGTAGTTTCAAGGTGTTCGTACTCATCAGGAAGTGACCCCAACAACATCAAGGCCAAATCACCATCATCAAAAGTTGCATCCATATTTTGCAAATATAAAAGAAAGCCTAATGTTTAGGATTTAAACACACCTCTTATTTGCCTTCTTATCTTCTTAAGGCATTTGTATCTTCTCTCTTTAGTATTATTTCACTTGTATTTTTGGAGTGGAATAAAATATTGGTTTTGCCCGAGGAAGTAGGCAAAATTGGCCGAACCTCGTAAATTCTGGTATTCCTTTTATTGTTGTATTAGTGTCTTATTTATTATTTAGTGGCCGCCATAATTTTTGGTATAGTAGTTGTGACTCATTCACACTGTATACATTTGGCTTCCGCAACAACAACAACCTCCTTTTTCCATCACTATTTTGCCAAATGAATTCCCTCGATGCCTATAATCTATAACAACTTATTTCTAACACTTGCTGGAGTTGCTAATGATTATTGCTAAGTTCAAGGCTATTAATTATCTGCAAGACATGTTCACTTTTAATGCATTTATTTTTCTTATTTTTTTGAGCATTTGAACTATGCACTTCCGTTTATTGTTAACAGTTCTTTGCACCTTCGTTTTTTTATAAAACTAATGCTACTGTCATCACTACATGCAGATCAAGTGGGAGATCAAGATACCACAAAATCTTTGTGCTGGACCATGCTAATTATTATCAGTGATCAGCAATCGAATACCCCACGTTTCATTTTGAATATTTGAATCACATAGATTTTAAAGTGGTTTATCCTACTCTTTCTCTCGTTGATGTCAGATATTACATCTGAGAAATGCTGTTGAGAAGTTTTCTGTATATCTAGATTTTATGGCCTTTCATACTACTAATGCTGTGAATTTTGTCTTTATATTTATCTGGTTACTACTGAAGCTCGAGATATATCACGACAGTTAGATCAATATGATACAGGAGGCTTCCTTTGAATCTCTTCCTCTGGGGTGCTCTCTGAAGGTTGCTAGCTACAGAATTGCCTTGTGTCAAAAGTTTTTCGGTACGGGGGATGCAATTTTGCTAAAAGTTCTTTTTCTCTTTTCAGTTCTTTAAGTGGAAAACATACATTCTTTTTTTCCACTGGTTGACTGGTGAGATTTGTGCGCTAAGGTAGCTAACTTAGTGGTTGTGTAAGTTAGTGATTAGGAACTTTATGAGTATAGCGTTGATGGTTGTAAACTCCAAAGATTAGCTGATAAGTCTTCCTTAATTTTGAATTTTTCTTTAAGGGTGTGTGTTAACTTTGAGACTACTAGTGGATCTAATTAAATCTTAATTTATAATCTAGCTTGAAGTTGATCTAGACATAGACTGGTCCAATTCATATTTTTTATTATCTGTTAATAATAAATGGTTGCTTAGCAAATTTATTAATTTAGATTTAAAAAAAAAAATATTTGCAGGTAAGAATATATTGTGTGAATGTAAATATATGATGTCTAGTTATACGAATGGAATACATATAGATATTATGTACAGGATTATAAAAAACTCAGATATAAAATGGTTGCACTGTATAGGATTAAACCACATTACAGATCGAGCTTGCTTGATCGTCCTAGGATATTTTGCTGAGGCATTCTGCACACTCAATTCAAGTCTGTTTGTGGCGCTTATCTAGGTACATTATTATTTTTCAAAATGGTGAATCTCATCCTTTTGATTCCTTGCAACTGATATATTCTAGCTGCGCTAGTTCAAGTGCTTCTCTATCTAGTGTAGGCGAGCTGAATATAATGTTCATGGTTCCTAGGTTGCCTTCTGCTGTTCTGCATATTTGTTCTTTTCCTATTTCACATTTGGTTCCTAGGTTTCTCGTAGCTCTGCGGTATCTGTATCCGTAGTCATGATCTGGATAAACAGAGAAAAATCATTCATGGAAATTGAAGAAGGCATGCTTTGCAACTGTAGGATCTACAATTGGTTTTTCTTTTGGAGGAGTGGATTGTTGGAAACATTGTGCTTCCACAGATTGATCAGTTTGTTTAATTATTAACTCAGATAAGCTTGTGTGCTTATCTGAGTTATCTGAGTTATCTGCTTGTGTGCTGGATTTATCCTTGATCAGCAGTCTGAGACCAGGTGTCTATTCTGGTAGGTATGCACTGTTGTGTGTTTGTGTGTGTGTGTGTGTGTGTGTGTGTGTGAGAGAGAGAGAGAGAGAGAGAAAGGGAGAGGGAGAGGGAGGGAGAGAGAATTAAAATTTATTATAAATGAATTTTGAGGTATGTTTCCTTCTAGTGTTATTGAGATTGTGGAATAGTTGTTCTTATTTCTGTTTCCTCCAGTTTATTGATAAGTAACTCACTGTGGTAGATGAGTGGACGTGGGAGATGAGGTTCCACTGATGCAAGGAACAAAGAGAAGGTTATGAACATAGAAGAGATCATTTGTGATGGTTTTCGGCCTAAGTATGTGAGCATTTACTCGTGGAGTACTGCCTTCTGATTTAGTTTGAGCATTCCTTCATCATCAGAACACAGGTGTACCACTTAAATGAAACTTCAAGCTCGACCTTTTGTATTTACAGCAATGTCTTTTCTTGCTTTCTTCAGAATTCAAGACTAAAAGGATCTGGTTTGTTGCTTACATGTTTCTGGTTTCGTTGATGTGGATTACTCATCTTTTTTTTCTTTCGGTTATAATTAGATTATTACAATTCTCATGTATCTCAAATCTGATGGGGGGCTTTTACCCTCCTAGTCTCTCACTTCTGCTGATATTTATAGGTCCTGAGCTTCGTGTTGATTTACAAGACTTTGACTACTCATTGGACTTGTGGAATTTGGTTTCATGTTTACCAAATTGGTGAGCTACTACCTCTTCGGACCATTTTCTTTATTTTTGGTTACTTATGCTGTGACCCGGATGCGCATGAGACCCAATCTGGCGCATATATTTCGTTTTCCACTTATATCGCCTTGTTCCATGACTTGGCTACTTTATGATGCCATTCATGGTTGTATGTCTCAAATCATCCATGGATGTCCAATAATGATATACAAATGTCAGTATTTATCCGTGTATGTTCTTTCACTTTGATGCTAACTGGAATGCGTTCTGCTATATAGACATTCCGAAAAGAGCCTTTCTTCTATGGACACGACAGTTATAATCAATTTGTGAAGAATGTGAAGGTATGTAGAATCTCCATGAAAAGGCTTATCATTATTTTGCCTAGAAAGGCCAGAGATAAGAGGATAGAATTGTTTTTGCACTATAATGGTATGCATTCTTGGGGATTAAGTTGCATGTTAAGGAAGAACCAACTTAGGGTTAGTATATCCGGATAGTGGATCTTCATGAACCATGTGAAGTTGTGATTATGGCACTTTACTAGTTTACTGCTGACCTTTGTAGAATATTTAGCTACAGAACCACATTGCTTTGAGAAAGCATGGAATATGGTCTCAAAGTTGGGGAAGAGAATTAAGCAATCTAGAAATAGATAGACCCGTGGTTCAGAATTGAATCATCTCTGGTTCATTGCTCGAGTGCTTTTGTCCCGAAGCTATTCAATGAAACTAATGGTCTCCCCCATTAAAATGTATCCCACAAAGTTGGGACATATGTCATACATGAAACATTGGGAATTAGACCTGCTATTAATGTGGGCTTTCAAGTTTTTTTTTCCTTCCCGTTGCGGCTTGCAGAAGGCTAAGAGCAGACGATTTAATACCATCTTCCATCCTTTTCTTTTGGGTGTTGGTATGTGTGCGCGCGCGCTGGGGAATGGGGTTATACTAGAGCATTAAGTCTATCTGGGACTTCAAGAATCTTTGGACTTGAATAAGAATACAAAGCTGAAGGATTTCTTTGATCAGTAAGTTCTCAGGCCATCGTCTTTAATAGTTTTATCTGTGTGCTTCAATGATGTCAGATTTGATTTCATGTGTGTCCATCATTTGCATTTTTTTGTTTAACTGTGGTCTTAAGCTATATAATTACTATGGTAATCACATCAAAATCTTCAGATATGTAGCTCACTTAGCTACATAATAAATAACCTGAGGTCTTCAGCTATATTAGTTGGTAAGAAAATCATAACATATGTAGCTCATTTAGCCCCATGATAACTATGGTGATTTCTCAGAAAAATGGAAGTTAACCTCAGGTATTTTATCAAATTTGGCTGCTCAATTATTTAACTATCCTAAGCTTACACAGATGAAACAGGCTTTTGTGGTTGCTGATTCTATTGGTCGATGAAAAAACCAACCAGATCAGATTACAGGGGTAAGATGCATGGACGGTATATTTGCGTTTACATGTCGCGCTTTTGTCTGAGATTCTTTTACTGATAAAAGAAATCTCATATTCAGTATAACACACTACGCACGGGCCCAACAATCTGAACTCTGACAAAGTTTGTTTTCTACTTCTTAATTTGTTTTTTGTTATAATTTGTTGTTGTACTTTAATTTAAATTCAATTCACCCAACTAAATATTTTATCTTTTTAGTCCTATAGGAATAATAATAATAATAATAATAATAATAATAATAATAATAATAATAATAATAATAATAATAATAATAATAGGAACATATATGTATTTCTATTGTCAACTTTTAGAACATTAAGATAAGATAAAGAAAGATACGATACATAAAAGTGAGGAAATAAACACGTCTTTCAAAGGCAACCAATTCTATTTTTTTAAAACAAAATTTTCTCAAAAAATGTAAAATGCTTGAATTAATAATGTGAATTTTTTTTGCTCATTCTTGGTTCTACCTTTCTTTTGTTTTAGATACCTAATTTAATTATGATGTTTTAATAAATTTTGTTATTTCAGTTTGTTGTTTGATAGATATTTAAAAAGTTTCAACCTTAGAACTATGAACGTTTAATACCTTTTTGTGTGCTGTATTCATCTCATTTTCATTCGGATTATTTAGAAAGTACACTCTTAGTTAATACAGGTTAGTAATTGCGAAGTAGTAAACAATAAAAATCTTATGTATTTTATAGAGCTCACTTATATATCTATTTGAAAACCTTTTGAGAAAATTTTGAACAGATAAAAAGACCTTAAAATGAAATCTAACTTTATAATAGACAATTAAACAAAAATATGCCGCAAAAATAAAATGTCTTCTGCAAAATATTTTTCTTCAACTTGAATTTATCAAACTATTTCACAAAACATTGTGCACGTATTTACCAACCCAAATAATATTTGATACAGTCACCATATTAAGAATTTTTAGAATTGAAATTACCAAAGTTAACCATAATAAAAGGTATTAGAAGATGATTTGATAAATATTTTCCTGTAAAATGATTTGATTTTTAAAAAAGAAAGTCTTTGTTGAAATAAGTTGACATTTATAACTTTTTGGGCATTATAATTTCAGTAAAAAATCAATTACCACATAAATAATTTTAGTATGTGATCTACAAAATTAATTTAGAAGAAATTTATAAAATTAAATTACCATAATATCTATTATAGCTTATGATATGCAAAGTTAGTTCTTGAAAATTTCTAAACAGCTTGATAGTGGCAGCTCTGAGCTTTAGAGTTTAGAAGTAATCATGAATATATTTAAACCAAAAATTTGTCTCCCTACGAGCATTCATAGAATTTGGCGAGTTATATATAAAAAGTTGTCATGGTAATGGATTTTCCAACCGCAATTTGTAATGAGAGATGGACCCACTCGAAGAGATATACGGCTCCCTCAAAGGGCTAAAATGTCTATACAACTAAAATTAATAAAGTTAGCATAATAATCAAGTTATTTGAACCAATCAAAACTTAGAGCCACTTTAAATGATCAAATAATTATAAAAACTAAATATGAAATGACCAAAAAGAGCCTTGGTCGGCAAGCTGGCAAGACAACGGCCAGCTGCTTCCAAGGCTCTTCTATATATTAGAATATAGATAACAGATACAAGGGACCAATCAATTTAATGCTTATTTAAACAGGTACTAATTGGGATTAGGTCCTCATCTTGCTGCCTTATTGAGCATTTGGAGAATAATCTTATGATGAATTAGAAAAAACGATCCTTCTCTATAAACAGTGAAATGTTTCTTTTTCTTGGATTAGACTAGGGTGGTAATTTGAGCCCAAATTCATTTAACCTGCTCAATCCGCCAAGAGATTAATGGATTGGGTTACCAATATTTTAGCTTATGTGTCAAATTGGATTGAACCCAAGTTAACCCATTATATTTTATAATCCATTCTAACCCATTAAGCAGCCCAAATACAACACATGAAACTCACCCAAAACAAAAGATATTTCAACCTAACTTATATAGAAATTTATTTAGTTGCCCCAATTTTACTTCTTTATTTTTTGTATTTTTAATTTTATGTTCTTTTGTTTTTCTGCACCATCCACCCACCCGGCCCTCCCCCCGGCAAAACCCCCCTCCTCAAATTTTCT